TATTTTCCGTTAATTTGGTACAATTTGCAGACATTCGTTCTGATTAACGAGCGCGTATTTCCGATTTGGTAAAGAATCATAAATTTTTAAGAATCTTTTTTAAATTAAAATTAATACGCTTGTACGTAACGCATTTTTTTCACATGCTATTCACATTTTTCATTTTCTATAATATTTATGAGATATTTGCGCTTGAACATGAATATCAACACAATTTCAGATAAACTTTTGAACTTATGAGCGACAAGGAGCCTGGGGCAAGATTGGTTATTGTCAAGCGCATGTCCGCGATTTCTGGCGATGAAGGAAATAACACATTTAGAAATCCCAGTCTAAATTTCTACATGTACACTTGAATTTATGATGGTCTAGATCTGCAACTTTGTTTAGGTATCGAAATTTGTTTTCATCATGAATGTTTTTACACTGTTCATGATGAAAACAAATTAATTTGCGGGTAGGGGTGGCCACACAATCGGAAATTGCATCACCAATTTACACCTAAGAGTCCACTCGTATTAATTAAGTGCCTTGATTAAGTTTTATAAGAATTAATGAAAAATGTCAGCACTATTCAGATCATACACAAAAAGACTAAAATGTTTTAAAATCCATTAAAATCTAAAAATTGATTCTGTTACCGTGAAAATATTCTATATAGCAACTGTTTTTGTAGCCATATATAGGTGTTTATTTAGACTATGAGAAGCGATGAATTTCGAGCGATAAATTTCATGATGTTTAATATATTTGTTTTGAAATCAATGGTGTTTCCTGGAATCTAATTGGTTTCCTGGAATCCGATTTCAGCACGAATCTCACTCCTGGCAGTGTCATTCGTGCTGATATCGCGCCTTCTTTCAACCATTCACAATAAACTGCTGACTTCAGCCAACCAATCATATTTAATCATAGGATTCATGCATACAGCCAATGAATTTTAAGAAAATTGTGATATAGCAAATGAGCAAAAACAAAAAATTTACATATGTCATGATTACTCTTGAGTGTCGGAGCAATTTTTTGCATAAAAACAAAACAATATGGCTAGCTTCCTGCTTTAATCAAAGAATTGGAAAGAATTTTAAATCTGTTTAATAAAATCTCACAAATAGTAACAGGCAAAAGTGCCAATAAAAGCAAATTTAAAGCGTCAGGGAACACAAAGGAAAATTCACCTATCGTATTTCCAATTTTAAACGCACAAAACTGCACCAAAACTCTTTCAAATCACTCGTAAAACCTACAATATATTTAAACTTACTTGTGTTGTTTCCTATTTATTACCAATGTCTTCATTTCTTCAACATTTTTGCAGTATTTTGAACGTATAATTAAATGCATTTTAACAAAACTTGTTCGCTTATTGTTGCTATGCTACAGCACTCAGGTAGGTCCCGGAGGTGTGTCTTTTGCAAACAAAAACGTTTCCGGTTTACAAAAATATTTAAGATTTCAAAATGAAAATAATAAAATGGAAATTGAACTTCGCGTCGTGCAATTTTGGACTGAAATCAAACTTGTGATTACAAATCGCACTCCCGCTTCGCGGTCGTGCGATTTTGTAATCACCCGTTTCATTGCAGTCCAAATCGCATTCCACTCAGTTCAGTTAACATTATGTACTCGAGCGACGACGCTGCATGGATGCAATGTACGAAGGCTATGGCGAATCTCATTGGTTGAAAGAGTAAAGAAACTCGAGTGAGGTTTCAATAATCCGAGAAAAGCGAGCCAAACATGAGATTACCGAAACAGAAGAATAAAAAGTTCGAAAAAAGATCGAAATTTGGAAATTTATAATTATAATGTTACAGAAATAATTTCTTTACATTCTGACCATTTTTTTTATTTTTTTTTTTTAATAATTTCTCACAATAGTCTTGCACGGGTATGAAAGTTTTCTCTATCATAATTTTTTTAAAGTTTTCACGTTGTTTTCACATTGATATACTACCATGAACATTTTATCATTGTTTCCGATTTTGTACTATAGTGTATTTTTGTTGTATTCTGCTTTCACCTTCCTACTACGCACTAGCTAGATATACATGCATGCAACAACCCCTCGCCCACATTTTCCAAACATTGTTTCAACATGAAGTACTCTAGTTACGCCAACACGGAATGCAGGCTCGCGTCATGATAGCCATGGCAGCACGATAATTGTTTTTCCTAAAATTTTGTTCAAAACGGCAAATATAAATGAATGTTTTACACTTTTAAATACAGAACTATCCATTTCTAACATATAGGAAGTGGGTATGTTATTTTGCTTTCTATGGGCTTTGTTATACTGTAAAATTCAACATGAAACGCTTCGTAAAACGTTTCTTAATGTTCATTGAAATTAACTGTTTTTTGCCGATAAACTCTTCAACTTATTACTCGTACTTTGAAATGAAATAAATTTAAATCATAGAGGTCGCTCTTGAAAATAATTTTCTCCTTTTTTGAACTTTTATTAAAATAAAAACCAGTTAATTCAAAGAAACTTTCGCATAGAATGAAAAGGAAAGCTGCATGTACATGTTCAAGCCTCAAGGCCATCAGGTGAAAAGTCCGAAAACTGGACAGCAAAGTCATACATAAACAGAAAAAACAAACTTACCTTATACTTCAGGATTTCTCACATTTTCTTAAAGATTTGAAAGAGTTGATTTACAACTTATTGTGTGAAAAGATGTCCAAAACTTTCTGCATGTATGGATTTTTGATGTTTGTTTGCTTCACTCCTGGCAAACATGAAACAGCTATATTTTTGAGATCAGTGAGATGACCACCCATTCATAGCCATGCATGCGCCCGCGAGCATTGATGAACTTTAGACATCGCATATACTTTCCTTTTCCCGGGTGTAAATAGCCGAGCGGAATTAGTATCCTCGCCACAGGCTTCGCCCTAGGCGCTCCGCGCGTGACTCGGGCATTATTATTGTAAACAGACCTTAATAACACTACACTTGTTACTTTTCATTTCGGTATAGTCTACCTTCAGAGGAGGTTGGACAGCAGGCCGCAAAGCATCATGGGTATTGAGCGCCTAATTCCGCGCGTGGCTTTCATTGACTGTTGACTGTCGAGGAGTGAACATCTCTCTGACTAAACCAATATGGAAGCTTTCGAACGACAAGAGTGTCAGACTGCGATACTTTTTGAAAAGAAACAGCATGTTATTGCTGTATTGTTGCGATCATCATTATGATTTGTGTTTTACTATACCAAATTTACCTTTTTTAAATATTTGCATGGGACATGCTGTCATTTTAACTTTATAAATAATGCGTCTGAGCGAAGGAATTGTGTTTATATTCCCAATAGAGAGGCTCTTCTTTCTACCTTGGATGACGTTAAATCTCCGTGTATCATCAACATGAAAACAAGCGCAATATTTAAGGTTGGTATACTACAATGCATTACAGTTACCTTGTTATTTAGTCAAATTATTATCCGCTTTGTTGTTTTTAACCTTGTACTGTAAGGCCCTGTAATTTTATGAATACACTGTACAAAATTATGGCGTAATATTTGTGTTTAATGCCTCTAGTTTGACCCTATTGTATGCATCTATGTACTGTGTCACTGTGATACATATGTACATGCTTTGAGTTGAACAAATTGTTTAATAAATTTTTGCTGAAGTATGATGCCATTGCCTGATCTAGTTGTGGGATAGATTTTCACATATATGTGCATACAATTTTTCAATTTTCATCTGTAAAATATTGCCATATTTAGTGTGTTGTTCTATAAATATTACTGTAAATAGTGACACACTTTTGCATTAGATTGCTAATTTTAGAGATTACAGTGTATGTACAAAATAATAAAATAAAAATTTTCTTGTTATGATTTTGTAGAATTAAGAGATCTACTTGAGTGGTTGGCTGATCTTGAACCTGGTCAGCATGGATATGGTAATGAAGGTGATAGGGCAGAAAGTGGTGACCAGTTAAGTGATGAAAGTGACAACACCCATGCTGTACCATTCAAGTGCATCGGTGCTGCTCATGAGAAAAATTACCAACATCATTTGGAACAGGCATACCTTGCTCTTCATGGACGAGATAAACCAGTGAATGTAAGAATACGGCCAGAGCCATTGAATCCAATGGACCCAAGTGCAATTGATGTAGACTATAGTATGGAACTGGATGGACAGATATTGGTTATATTGCTTCTCAACTATGCAAATATTTGCACCCACTAATTGCCACAGGAGATATCTTAGAGGTCTATGTTCAGCATATCAAGTATAGGGTTGAATTTTTTAAAATAGGATTTTATCAAAAAATTTTCATAAAGCGACCTGGTGATCGAGTGGGCGACTCAAGTGGTAAGGAAGAGCACAAGTGTACGTTGACAGATGTTTGTGATATAATTATAACTGACTAGGTTTAGCAAGTTATAGAAATGATGTTATTTCAATTGGCTAACTTTTTAGATTTTCATGAACAAAAACTAGGTTAATGATAAGTGCATGGGTGTGCACAATTAAAATAAAACAATATCTGTCATGCACACTCATGCAATTAAGACAAGTATATAATTGTAACATATGCTGTACTAAATGAAGAAATAAATAGTTTGTACATTCACTTGACCAACTTTGTGAGTAATTTTTCATTAAAATTAATGCAACAATAAAACAAAAATATATGTCTATTTATATACATATTGATCAAAGGTCCCACAATAACATGCTGCTGATACTTTGTGATACATTACATGAGAACACAAAAAAACCCTGCATATAATTGCACCATCAATGTCAAGCCCCAGAGGGGGGTAGGCATATGTGGGGTATTTGATCATCAATTGCATCCCCACTCTGGGGATTTTGATTAGCATTTTGGGCCCGAGTTAGGGCAATTTGAACCAAAATTACTTTTATTAATAATAATAGTATTTATTGCAAAATAGTGGGGTGTTTGACCAATATTTATTGCCCAACAGTGGGGCATTTGATTGAAAATTTGATAAAAAAATCATATGCCTGACCCCGCCCCCTCTCTGGGGCTTAACATTGAAAGAACCACCATTTCTCAAACTTTATCTGAATTAGTTGTGTAACATCATTGCAAAATACTGTTAAAAAAGGCCAAGTGAGCCTTCACTGCTATAAAGGGCATTCTATCCAATGGCATCAGACCAACACCTCCATGGCATTGTTCTCCAAAGCATCGAGCAGAGTGATAAATCAGATTGTCTTTTTGACCAGCATGAAGTACAGACATAGCCTTGGCAACAAGTGGGAGAAAATTTTGAGGGACAAATTTAGCATCTAAACCAGGGTTAACTTTTAACAGCCATTTTTGAAACAGGTGGATGAGTAGTTGTTCTGGTTGTTGCTGGGTTAGTTTTGAAAATCCAGAAGTCATCATACCAATAACATATTAACCAGAAAGGTGAACAAGGTTTTGGTCACTCGATGGAGAGACAATCATAGCATCGGAGATCTTGCAGATGTAGAAGGTCTGTACAGATTGGAAGGACCGATTTTACCTCCAAATTTAATGATGATGCTTAATTATGGCAGACAAAATCATTGACAAAAATAGAATCCAGCCAAAATCACGAATCTCAAATCTAAAACATCAGCCAAACAATAAATTTCACTTGTAAAATATTGTTATGGAAGGGCTTTAATTATTTGCACACTTTAACTGCAATATATATAATCCATAATATATCGAAACTTCTATAATATATCACACTTCTTTAGAAAAAAGCGAGTAATAGCAGTTCATTATCGATCTGAGTGACAAGGCAACATATTTTACAGAGGGCTATATTCAACGGTGAATATCTCGAAAACGGTTGCGGGACCGAGGGGGCCGGCTGGATAGAATTAAAGATTATACTTTTGTTTAACTAATCGTGAAAAAAATAGCGAAATCGAACCGTGGAAATTTGAGATTTTTGTCTTCAAAGATTGTTGACAGAAACGCCATTAAATTACATGGCGACGGCATAGCGCCTAAAGTGAGAGGTCAAAATAAACTGGAAAATAACGCTTACCTTTCAAGATACCGTTCCAATGGGTAGATTCACTGTTGTAAAAGTAGTATCGGGTGAAATTTCAAAAAATATGTGCATAATAATATGAAAAAAGTCGATATTTATGAGCCCTATGTAAATTTTCGATGCCAAAAGCTTCATGCGAGCATGAGGGAAATGGCGCAATCTGATTGGTCGAGAGATTCGCCCAGATTCGCCTAATTAGCTGTCCAACCTCCTCTGCATTATTCTAATCAAGCTTGGTTTAACTTTAACCAATGAATGTTTATCAATTTCCATTATAGCGTTATATTAGGATTCAGCTTTTCCATACTCTGGCATCAAACTATATGAAACGATCACATTCAGTCGAACGATATACTTTATAATAGCGCTAGCAGACACCGTGCAGACACTGACTGACAAATTTGGAACATGAAACCAAAATTGTATACTGAAACGCAAGTTCTTATTGGTCGAAAGCTTGTAGTCAGTTAGTAGGGCAAAATTTGAATATTTATGTAACACACCGATTGTGTTTTTTCAAAACCGTGCTAAAATACCGATATTACAATCTTCTTGAATGAACTATACTATCTTTTCCCATAATTGATAGATAGATCTATTAATTTCGCGATAAATATTAATGTAGTTCTTGGAGTCCTATGTTTTTACAATGAACCAACTCGCCTTTAAAAACATAGCTGGCTTTTTAATTCTAATATATTACGGCGCAATTTTCAAGCTTCAAGGTGAACACCACAGAAACTATAGTTAACACAAATGAACAATAACGAACGTATAAAAGTCACAAAGAGAGATGCATGTATTTTAAAACCCATGTGTCCAAAGGTTAACTAAGGAAGGAGTGTTATTTTGAAAAGGCGTGTTACTTCGTAAGGCGTGTTTTCCCAAGATGTGTTAATAAAAATTTTAATTAGGTGTGTTATTTGAAAAAGTGTGTTATCTGACCAAGGCGTGCTATTTTACAAGATGTGTTGCCTTTCGAAGGTGTGCTGTAATTAAAAGACATGCTGGAGTAACACACGCATTTTGTCGGAAGGTGTGTTTGGCTTAATAGCACGAAAGATGTGTTATTGAAAGGCGTGCTTTTTAACCCACTGGCGTGCTCTTTAACATACCATGATAGGTTAACTAGAACATCAAGGTGTGTTAAGGTTTGATTGTGTGTCAGTGTAGCACACCAGGCGTGTAAGATAACACAGGTCGGTGTGTTATTAAGCACATCTATTTTTTAGAGTGCA